GTTAGTAGTAGTTGTAGTCGTAGTAGTAGTTCGTAGTAGTAGTCGTAGTAGTAGTAGTAGTAGTAGTAGTAGTAGTAGTAGTAGTAGTAGTGGTAGTAGTAGTAGTAGTAGTAGTAGTAGTAGTAGTAGTAGGAGTAGTAACAGTGCACAAGTAGTCGTTGTCGTCGTCGTTGCGGTAGTCGTGGTCGCAGTCGTAGTCGTAGGCGTAGTCCTAGTCGAAGTCGTAGTAGGAGAAGAAGGAGGACGATTAGTATTAGTTGTAGTACTTGTAATTTTGCTAGTCGTCGGATTGGGTCTTCATGTGCATTGATGCTTGTGGTTGTCTTCTGATAGGGTGCAAGGCACGAGGCTACAATGTGAGTGGCGCAAGGCTTATCCTATTGGGTCGTGTTGCAGTGGTGTCAAGTCGCATAAGTATGCCACAACTTCGCGGATGGAGGCGGTTCCCCTCCAAAGCTGGGCTTCGTGGGGTAGGTTTTGGAGCTTTATGGTAAACTGTGTTTGATTTGCAAGCAGACGGGCGGCAGGTAGATCCTGCTCAAAACGCACTGTCGCATGGGCAGGTGGCGGGGCGCTTGTCTTTCTAGGGGGCGTTTCCCACAATTGCGGGGAATGCTGACACGGATTTTGCGACGAGAGGACTTGGGACGGAACGGTGTATTGCAGACTGTATTGCAGTATCGTTGATGCGTGCTGGGTTCAGTTAGGTCTTTCGCCTATTCGGAGGAGGACCCGGGTAAACCCAGCAAAACAGAGAGTGCCTCCCTCTCTGTTGCCCTCCTTGGGATTCTCTGGACACCTCCGAGTGCCTCCGAGAGCCTCTCGGAAAACCTCCGTTGCAGTCGCCAGTGCCGCGTTTTGTTCCTCGTCTTGGACCCCTGGAGGTCTGGTTCCCAGCGCCGGTTTCCCATTCTGAGTTCTCTGATGTCAGTGGCCCCAAGGCCCGGCGAGAGCGCTCCACACTTAGAGGCGGAACGCGGCCAAGAACCCTGCGTTGCGATTTTTCGCGACGCGAGGGGAGGATCTGGGTGTCAGGATCCTTCTTCCCTGGCCGTCTGCCCGAGTCCGTCTCAAATGGACCAGGAGGGAACAAAAACACACAGACACAATTAATCGTCGATTCCCCAGAAAATATGAGAAAATATGGGAAGTGGGGGGGAAGGCAGAAACCCAGAAAATATGGGAAAATATGGGGAATCTTTTTATTTGTGTGTATTTATTTGTGTGTCCTGGGGCCCCTTCAATGGACCCTGTTGCCGCCCGCAGCATCAATCCCGGCAGGCCTTCCGAGCTGCGCGTGAGAGAGTGGCGGCGAGGCGCGCCCCGGCAGGCCAGCAGACGAGAAACGAGGCGTCTCGATGCTTCGATCGCGAGATGTTCCCATGTTGCGGGCCTTGGTAGTATTATTTTAGGAGTAGTAGTAGTAGTAGTAGTAGTAGTAGTAGTAGTAGTAGTAGTAGTAGTGGTGGTGGTGGTGGTGGTGGTGGTGGTGGTGGTGGTGGTGGTGGTGGTAGCGGTAGTAGTAGTAGTAGTAGTAGTAGTAGTAGTAGTAGTAGTAGTAGTAGTAGTAGTAGTAGTAGTAGTAGTAGTAGTAGTAGTAGTAGTAGTAGTAGTAGTAGTAGTAGTAGTAGTAGTAGTAGTAGTAGGAGTAGTAGTAGTAGTAGTAGTAGTAGTAGTAGTAGCAGGCCAGCAGATGAGAAATGAGGCGTCTCGACCCTTCGACCGCAGGATGTTCCCATGTTGCGGGCCTTGGGTCACCACCCACCAAACCACCCCAACCCAACCCGAAGGCCTCAAATTGACCCCCATTTCCAGTGGGGGGGGGGTCGGGGAACATCGAGAAAGCACATATGGAACCCGTACCCCCCCCACCCCGAAATTCGGGTCTTCGGGTTGGGTTGGGGTGGTCTGGTCGGTAGTCATTGGGGTCCGAGAGCGACCTGTCGGCGGCGAGCGAGGGGGGGAAATGGGAAGGAGAAGGCCCTCTCAGAAGGCGGCGGGACTTCTCCGAAGCCTTCGCGCCTTCTGAGAAGCTTCCCTTGTATTCGGGAAGGCCCGGGGAACTTTTCAGAAGGCCCGAGACTTACCTTGGGTCACCACCCACCAAGCCACCCCAACCCAACCCGAAGGCCTCAAATTGACCTCCATTTCCAGTGGGGGGGGGGGTCGGGGAACATCGAGAAAACACATGTGGAACCCGTACCCCCCCCAACCCGAAATTCGGGTCTTCGGGTTGGGTTGGGGTGGTCTGGTCGGTAGTCATTCGGGTCCGAGAGCGACCTGTCGGCGGCGAGCGAGGGGGGGAAATGGGAAGGAGAAGGCCTTCTCAGAAGGCGGCGGGACTTCTCCGAAGCCTTCGCGCCCTCTGAGAAGCTTCCTCTGCATTCGGGGAAGGCCCGGGGAGCTCTTCAGAAGGCCCGAGACCTTCCGGACCTTCTGAGAAGGCCCGCCCCTCCTCGCCTCCCCCCGGACGCGCCGCCCCTCAGGAGTACAAGGCCATCCGCGAGATGAATGCGGAGAAGGCCTCCATCATGGTGGTCGGCGCCGGCTTCATCGGCCCCCCGCCGCCCCGCCTGGAACAGGGGCTCGCGCGGTCGCCACCACTGCTACCGCCACCGCCGCCGCCGCCCACCGCCACCACCGCCACCGCCGCCGCCGCCGTCGTCGTCGTCGTCGTCGTCGTCGTCGTCGTCGTCGTCGTCGTCGTCGTCGTCGTCGTCGTCGTCGTCATCGTCCTTCGCCCTTTTCTTTGTATTTGTCTTTGTCTCTGTCGTTGTCCTTATGTTGTCATTGTCTTTGTCTTTGTCTCTCTCTTTTTTTCGTCCTCTTTGTCTTTGTCATTGTCTTTGTCTCTGTCTCTGTCTCTGTATTTGTCGTCTTCGTGTTTCACTTTGTCTGTGTCTTTGTCGTCGTCGTGGTCGTCTTTGTCGCCGTTGTTGTCGCCGTCTCACTCCTCGTCTTCGTTTTCGCCGTCGCCGGAACTGGAGTCCGAGTGGAATCGGAGTCGGAGTTGAAATTGGAGGAGGAGGAGGAGGAGGTGAAGGAGGTAGAGGGTTTTGAGAAGGAAGGGGCGGAGAAGGAGGAGGAGGGAGGAGAAGGAGGAGGAGGAGGAGGAGCAGGATCATAATGAGAAGGAGAGGGGGAAGGGGAGGATTTGTTGCGGGTGGGGTGGATGTGGGGGGGGGGCGAGAGGGATGGGGCGGATGAGAAGGAGGAGGAGGAGTTGGAGGTGGAGGTGGAGGTGGATGGGGATGAGTTGGCTGAAGATGATGATGACGACGATGACGACGATAACGACTGCGATGATGACGACGATGACGATGACGATGATGACGATTACGATGATGTTAATGACGCTGATGATGACGACGATGCAGATGATAATGATGATGCTGCTGATAATGATGATGATTATGCTAATGATGATTATGTTGATGATGATGCTATGGATGATGACCGAGATGCATAGTATGCGTATGATGACCAGGATGCTGCTGATGATGACGGTGATGGTGGTTCATGGTGTTGGTGGTGATGCTGATGATGATTGTGCTGATGATAATGATGATGCTGCTGCTGATGATGATGATGATGATGGTGACGATGGTGATGAGGATGATGCTGATGCTGATGCTGATGCTGTGGTCATGAAGACGATGATGATGATGATGCTGATGATGAGTCTGATTGCATTGATGTGTTTTTTTCACGGTGACGGTGATGATGCGACTGCTGCTGCTGCTGCTGATGCTGATGTTGATGATGATGATGATCATGATGATGATGATGATGATGATGATGATGATGATGATGATGATGATGATGCTGACGCTGCTGCTAATGATGATGATGATGATGATGATGATGCTGCTGATGATGATGATGATGATGATGATGATGATGATGATGATGATGATGATGATGATGATGATGATGATGATGATGATGATGATGATGATGATGATGATGATGATGATGCTGATGTTGATGTTGATGCTGATGCTGTTGCTGCTGATGGTGCTGATGCTGATGCTGATGGTGATGATGCGGATGCTGGTCGAAATTATGATGGTGATGGTGAACCGTATGACGATCATGCTGGTGCTGGCGGTGGTGGTGGTGATGGGGAGGGGAGGATGAAGGGGAGGAAACGGGGAAGCAGGAGGAGAAGGATGGGGTAACGCTCACTGTTTCCTTGCCGCCTCTCTCGTGCCCCTCTGACTATTTATCTTCTTCCATCTGCCGTGTCTTTCCCCATTGCATTTTTTGTTTTCTGCCCATCCTCTCCCCTTTCTTCAACCATCTTGTGGTGCCGGATCCTCGTTTTGAAGAGACAACGCCCCGCGTCACCTCCAGCCCTCCTCCCTCCTCACTCTTTCCCCTCCTTGCCTCTGCCCTCATCACTATGCGTCTCCCCCCACCCAGTGCAGCGTTTCGTGGCCCCATAGGGAGCTCCACCGGAGGCCCCAGTGGCTGCACTCGCATGGGGGACGCCCACCCATTACAGCGTTTCGTGGCCCCATCGTGAGCTCCACCGAAGGCCCCAGTGGCTGCTCTCGCCTGCGGGACCACCCAATACAGCGTTTCGTGGCCCCATAGGGAGCTCCACCAAAGGCCCCAGTGGCTGCCATTGTATGCGGGACCCCCACCCAGTGCAGCGTTTCGTGGCCCCATCGGGAGCTCTACCGAAGGCCCCAGTGGCTGCTCTCGCATGCGGGACCCCTGGTTCGTGGCCCCAAAGGGAGCACCACCGAAGGCCCCATTGCCCCAGTGGCTGCTCTCGCATGCGGGACCCCCACCCAGTACAGCGTTTCGTGGCCCCATCGGGAGCTCCACCGAAGGCCCCAGTGGCTGCTCTCGCATGCGATTCCCCATCCTGTACAGCGTTTCGTGGCTCCATGGCGAGCTCCACCGACGGCCCCAGTGGCTGCTCTCTCATGCGGGACCCCCACCCAGTACAGCGTTTCGTGGCCCCATCGGGAGCTCTACCGAAGGCCCCAGTGGCTGCAAGGCCTCATTGCGTTTGTGGATGCTTTCTCATGCGGAACCCCCACCAAATATACCGTTTCGTGGCCCATATGGAGCTCCACCAAAGGCCCCAGTGGCTGCTCTCGCATGCAGGACCCCCGCCCAGTACAGCGCTTCGTGGATCCATACGGAGCTCCACCGAAGGCCCCAGTGGCTGCAGTCGCGTGCGATTCCCCCACCCAGTACAGCGTTTCGTGGCCCCCCAGGGGGCTCCACCGAAGGCCCCAGTGGCTGCACTCGCATGCTGTTCCCCCGCTCAATACAGCGTTTCGTGGCCCCATAAGGGGGCTCCACCGAAGGTCCCAGTGGCTGCACTCGCATGCGGTTCCCCCGCCTAGTGCATCGTTTCGTGGCCCCACACGTACGGGAGCTCCACCGAAGGCCCCAGTGGCGGTGTCCGCATGCGTTTCCCCTACCCAGTACAGCGTTTCGTGGCCCCACACGTACGGGAGCTCCACCGAAGGCCCCAGTGGCGGTGTCCGCATGCGTTTCCCCTACCCAGTACAGCGTTTCGTGGCCCCATAGGGAGCTCCGCCGAAGGCCCCAGTGGCGGCCCCGCCCCACTGCGGCGCCCCCCATCACACGTTTCGCGGCCCCACAGTGGGTTCCGCGTAAAGCCCCAATGGCAGCGCCCACATGGCGGCCCCGCCCCACATCGGCACACCCTTTGCATGCTTCCTGGCCCCATGAGGAGATCCCCCGAAGGCGACACCCGCAACGACGGTACTCACAACTGCATATAGTCGGGTCCTTCGCGCGGAGAATTTCCCTCTCCGTCTTCTCCTCCTCCCGCTACCTTGCTCCTTCGGCTCCTCCTTTCCCTCCCCCCTTCCCCCTTCTACCGTCCTTCCTTACTTTCTTTGTCTTTTCCGACTCCTCTTTCTCCTTCCCCATTCTTTCCCGTCCTTCCTCCTTTTCCTTCATCCGTCCTCTTTCTTCCCACTTGTCGTCTCGCTTTTTTCCCCTCTTCCTGCCCCCCCCCTCTCTCCTCTCTCTTCTCCTTTCTGGACTTGCCTCCCTGCCTCTCACTCTTTTCCGTCCTTTCTTTCATCCCCGTCTCCATCATTCACCCTGCCCACCCTCTCTTCTTCCATCTCCGTCCTCGCTTCTCTTTCATCTTTCCTTCCGTCCTCCCCATCTCCCTCCTTCCCTTTCTCCCTCCTTCCCCTTCTCCCTCCCCCTCTTTCCCCTCCGTCCATCCTACCTTCCCCCCACCCCTTCCGCGTCCAGAAGCTTCACACCAAGCCCAAACGCAAGGCATCCTTGGACTGCCCTCGAGTCCTCCGACTACTTCTTTACACTTTCGGGTACCGCTCCCCTCATGCTCGTGCCTCCTCTTCGTCGTCGTCGTCGTCCTCCTCCTCCTCCTCCGCCCCCTCTTCCTCCAGTCGCCCCACGACTCACGAGTCAATCCACGCCCAGCAGCCCGCCATACCGTCCGACTGCCTGCGCCCCCCTGGAACGTGTCGAACACTGCCGACCACGTCGACGCGCCTCCTTTCCCTTCCTCCCTGCTCTCTACCCCCTCCTTCCCGCTACTGCAGGCGTCGAGTGGGTCACGGAGCTGGACCACTTCTTCCCCGACCTCTCGCTGGCCATCTGCGACATGCTGCCCAAGCGCCCGGGAGGGGGAGTCGGATGACGATAAAGACGATCATGAAGACGATCTGTTGATTTTGTTGCTGATTTCGATGATGATTATCCTGATGATGGTGCTGATGATGATGACGTTAATGATGTTGTGGTTGCGATGATGGGTGTAGCCATGATGATGGTGGTGACGATGCCGACGCAGACGATTGCTGATGATGTTGCTAATGATGCTGCTGATGAGGATTATGACTCGGATGAGGATGCCGTTGTGGACGATCACTTGGACATTTAGCATGCTGGTGATGTTGATGACGCTCTTGATTATGCTGATGACGACGATGGTGTTGTCAATGATGCTGGTGATGATGCTGATGAGGCTGACGACGATGCCGATGATGGTGATGATGATGATTCTGCTGATGCTGATGGTGCTTGTGACATATGCTAGATGGTAGATACAATTTGATGATGCTGGCGTTGGTGACTGTGTTCGTGGTAACGATGCGGATGTTGATGATGACGGTGATGCTGACGATTCAGATGATGATAACGACGGTGCCAGTGTTGAGCAGGCTGTCGAATATTATGTTACTTACGGTGTGTGCCAGGTGGTATATGTTATTTGGTAGTGCTGGTGTTGGTGATTGTGGTCATGGTAATGATGAGGGCGTTGATGTTGGTTGTGACGATGCCGATTATGCTGATGATGATACTGATGACGACTGCGTTGTTGATGATGATGCTGATGATTGTGGGGATGGGGATGGCGAGGCGGATGCCAATGATGAGGATGATGCTGGCGACGGGGATGCTGCGGCTGCTGGTCCTGATGCTGCTGCTGCTGCTGATGATGATGATGATGATGATGATGAGGATGATGTCGATGCTGATATTGATAATGATGGCGAGGATGATACTGGTGCTGCCGCTGAGAGTGATGATGATGCTTCCGATGCTGATTTGGCGACTACGGTGATGATGATGATGCTGTCGCTAATGATGCTGATGATGCTAATGATGACGGTGTCAATGATGCTGATGATGATGATGAGGATGAGGATGTGGATAATTAGGGGGAGAGATGGAGAGGAAGGGAGTATTGTGCTGATGCTGAGGGTGGGTGAGTTAATGATGGGTAGAGGGAGTGATTGAGTGAGAGGAGTTGGAGGGTGATGCTGATGACGATGATGATGCTGATGATGATGATGCTGATGCTGCTGATAATGATGATGATGCTGATGATGCTGATGATGATGCTGACGATGCTGCTGCTGCTGCTGATGATGATGACGATGCTGACGACGACGACGATGAAGATGCTGATGCTGCTGCTGATGTTGATGCTGACAATGTTGCTGATGATGATGACGCTGATGCTGATGCTGATGTCGAGACTGATGCTGATGATGCTGATGCTGATGATAATGATGATTACGATGATGATGCTGATGATGATGATGATGATGATGCTGATGATGATGATGATGACGATGCGGCTGCTGATGATGATGGTGATGATGACGATGCTGCTGACGACGACGATGATGATGAGGCTGGTGCTGCTGCTGTTGCTGATGCTGACGATGCTGACGATGCTGATGCTGATGCTGATGCTGCTGATGATGATGCTGATGCTGATGTCGAGGTTGATGCTGATGACGCTGATGCTGATGATAATGATGATTCTGCTGATGATGCTGATGATGATGATGAGGATGGCGATGCTGCTGCTGTTAATGATGATGATGATGATGATGATGATGATGGTGATGATGACGATGCTGCTGACGACGGTGATGAAGAGGCTTATGCTGCTGCTGAGGCTGATGCTGATGCTGCTGCTGCTGATGATGATGATGCTGATGCTGATGCCGATGCTGATACTGATGATGATGTTGCTTCTGCTGCTTCTGCTGACGCTGACGATGATGGTGGTGGTGGTGATGATGATGATGATGAGGAGGAGGAGGAGGAGGAAGAGGAGGATGAGAAGGACCCTGAATGAGGGATGGATGGGAGCATGATGCGGATGATGAGGAGAACTCCAGTGACGGTGACATGACGAGATTGCGGGCGATGGGGGAGGAGGCCGAGGGTCAGGGATGCGAATCATGGGGAATGTAAGGAAGAGGATGGGGACGACGAGGAGGACGCGGAGGGGGTGGATGCACATGAACATGAAAGGGTCACCCGCCATCCGTTTGACTGTACACTGCCCATTTTGGGTGGCTAATTCCAACGTTTGCCCCAGGCGGCATGATGAATTTGGATATGACCCGTTACTTTATCGATCATCAGAGTTCGAGAACCAGATGCTGAAACCACATGCCTTCCATGTTTTTGCTATTGGACCTGCCCGTTTGTCCGATAATGCGGTCTGGGGACGTTCTAGGCGAGAGCCAGGAGCCGAACACCCCCCCCCCCAGTCATGCGTGCAGTTTTCTGGGCTGATGTGCCTATGGGCCCCGACCATGAGCGGCCACGCAGTTTCAGGCTGTAGCCAGGGTTTGACTCCATCCGCCTTCATCCGTTAGGGCACGGTAAAAGGTCTGCGGCCGTCGACCTTGAGCAGCTCCCCAGCAGGATTCCGAGGACGGCACGGGCCGTCCGCGAGGGAGTGCCCCCCCCCCCCCCCCCCTTCCGAGGTGCCTCGGCCCGCTGCCCGAGAGCGCCGCGCAGTACTGCGTCAACTACATGACGAAGAAGGCGGGCCCGCCCTCCTCTCGGGGGGCAGGCGGGGAGAGGGAGCGGGAGGGGAGGAGGAGGGGGATAAGGATGGGGAGACCATGAGGATGCTGCTGATGCTGATGCTGATGCTGCTGATGATGCTGCTGATGATGATGACGAGGATGCCGATGTTGATTATGATTCTGACGTCGAGTCTGATGACGATGCTGCTGCTGCTGCTGCTGATGCTGATGCGGCTGATGATGATGCGGATGCTGATGCTGCTGCTGATGATGACAATGCGGCTGATGCTGATGATGATACTACTGATGCTGCTACTGCTGCTGCTGATGGTGATGAGGATGCTGAAGATGATGATGATGATGATGATGGCGATGATGATGATGATGATGCTGCTGATGATGATGATGATGATGATGATGATGCTGTTGATGACGATGCTAATGATGATGATGCTGCTTGTGCTGATTATGGTGCCGACGATACTGAGGATGAGGAGGCGGACGTGGAGGAGGAGGAGGAGGAGGAGGAGAAGTAGGAGCAGGAAGAGGGATACGCAGGAAGGAGTTGGAGGAAGGAGCATACAGGGTTCGAGGAGGAAGAGGAGGATGCTGATGATGATGCTGATGATGCTGATGATGCTGCTGCTGATGGTGAGATGCGGACGATGCTGATGCTGATGCTGATGATGGTGATACAGATGATGATGATGCTGCTGATGCTGATGACGATGATGGTGATGATGGTACTGCTGCTGATGATGATGCGGATGATGAGTATGCTGATGATGCTGATGATGACGATGATGCCGATGATGATGTTGCTGGTGAAGTTGAGGATGCTGCTGCTGATGCTGATGATGATGGTGATGATGGTGATGTTGCTGATGCTGATGGTGATGAGGATGATGATTATGCTGTTGATTATGATGACGATGCTGCTGCTGATGATGGTGCTGCTGATGCTGCTGATGCTGATGCGGATGCTGATGCTGCTGATGACGATGAAGATGCTGACAATGAGGCTGATGAAGATGCTGATTACGATGCTGATGCTGATGATGATGATGCCGAATCTGATGGTGATGATGATGATGACGATGCTGTTGATTATGATGATGTCGATGATAAGGCTGATGATGCTGCTGATGATGCTGATGATGATGATGATGATGGTGCTGATGATAATGCCGATGATAACGCGGATGAGGAGGCGGACGAGGAGGAGGAGAAGGAGGAGGAGGAGTAGGATCAGGAAGAGGGACACGCGGGAGGGAGTAGGAGGAAGGAACATACAGGGGTCGAGGAGGAAGAGGAGGATGGTGATGCCGATGATGCCGATGGTGATGATGCTGATGATGATGATGCTGCTGATGATGCTGATGATGGTGATGCGGATGATGCTGATGTTGCTGATGCTGATGATGATGCTGATGCTGCGGATGATGATGATGTTGATGATGATGACGATGATGATGATGATGATGATAATACTGATGCTGCTGATGATGATGCTGATGATGCTGCTGACGATGACGATGCTGATGCTGTTGCTGGTGATGATGCTGATGCTGACGATGATAATGCTGATGACGATGATGATGATGCTGCGGATGATGATGATGGTGATGATGATGATGATGATGATGATGATGACGATGATGATGATGATGACAATGATGATGATGATGATGATGGTGATGATGCTGATGATGATGATGATGCTGATGCTGATGATGATGATGATGATGCTGGCGATGATGATGCTGATGATGATGATGATGATGATGATGATGATGAAGAGGATGATGATGATGATGATGATGATGATGATGATGATGATGATGATGATGATGATGATGATGATCTGCTGCTGCTGCTGATGATGATGATGATGATGATGGTGATGATGATGGTGATGATGATGATGACGATGACGATGCTGCTGCTGATGATGATGATGATGATGATGATGATGATGATGATGATGCTGATGATGATGATGCTGATGACGAGGAGGATGAGGAAGAGGAGGGAGTTGGAGGATGCGGGAGACGAGGGAGGAAAACGAGGAGGAGTATGAGGAAGAATGGTTTCAGGGAGTAAGATGATGGATGCGAAGCGGGAGGTGGTGGAGGAGGAGGAGGAGGAGGAGCAGCAGGAGGACCAGTGTAAGCCCAAGACTCATGAACGATGTTGAGGAATACACCCGTTCTTCTAAGCTCCGTCTTCATAGAACCCTACATGGGTTCATTGCCACTTGGGGAACTTCCCCGTTGGGGAACAGCCGGTTTTTTTCATCGGAAAGACATAACATATATACCACATTATTATTCTTTCCATTCGTACTATTCTTCTTCTTCTTCTTATGATTATTATGAAGATATTACTATTATTATTATGTTTATGATGAAAACTTCTCTTCTTCTTGCTCTCAGTATTAGCATTCCCAACCATCCTGTGGTGTTGGGTCCTCGTTTTGAATAGAGCGCCCCGCGTTCTTCACTCCTTCCTCCCCCTCCTCCCTCCTCCCCCTCCTCCCTCTTCCCATCCGCCTCGTCATCTCGCTGCGTTTCACCCACCGGGGGCAGCATTCCGTGGCCCCATAAGGGGGGTCCACCGAAGGCTCCAGTGGCACATGCCGCATGCGTCACCGCCACCCAGGACAGCGTTTCGTGGCCCCATAGGGGGCCCCACCGAAAGCTCCTGTGACACAGGCCGCACGCGCCAACGCCACCCAGGACAGCGCTTCGTGGCCCGATAGGGAGCTCCACTGAGGGCTCCAGTGGCACAGGCCGCATGCGTCACCGCCACCCACAGGCCGCATGCGTCACCGCCACCCAGGACAGCGCTTCGTGGCCCCTTAGGGAGCTCCACTGAAGGCTCCAGTGGCACAGGCCGCATGCGTCACCGCCGCCCACAGGCCGCGTGCGTCACCGCCACCCAGGATTGCATTTCGTGGCCCCAAAGGGAGCTCCACCGAAGGCTTCAGTGGCGCAGGCCGCATGCGTCAACGCCACCCAGGACAGCGCTTCGTGGCCCCATAGGGAGCTCCACCGAAGGCTCCAGTGGCACAGGCCGCATGCGTCAACGCCACCGATTTTCGGTGCACTCCTCGCTCGTTTCGTGACCCCATAGGGAGCTCCTCTGAAAGCGGTACCCACAATGCGGCACTCGCATCTGCATATGGTTTGGTCTTTCGTCAGGCTATTTTTTATTATTACGGTTATGATTGTGATTATGATGCTGATTATGCTGATTATAATGGTGATGGTGATGATGATGATGCAGATGAAGCTGGTGCTGATGATGATTATGATGATGATGATGATGCTGATGCTGGTGCTGATAATGCTGATGCTGACCATGATGATTCTAATCGTGATCATGATGATAGTGATGATGATGATGCTGATGATGGGGATGATGCTTATTCTTATTATTCTTATTTTTCTTAGTCTTATTATTGGTATTAGTCGTGTTACTAGCAATTGTATTTGTATTAACAGGATGATTATGATGAACATTCTTTTCATCATTGTTGTTATTATTTTCTATGATGCTGATGGTGATGATGCTGATGCTGATGACGATGATGCCACTTATGCTGATGATGCTGATGATGCTGATGATAATGCTGATGATGATGATGCTGATGCTGGTACTGCTACTGATGATGATGATGATGATGATGATGATGATGATGCTGATACCGACGATGATGCTGATGCTGATGATGATGGTGGTGGTGGTGATGCTGACTATGCTGATGTTGATGATGATGATTCCGATGCTGCTTCTGATTATGATGGTGGTGATGATGCTGATGATGATGATTATGCTGATGCTGCTGCTGCTGCTGATGATGATGATGATGATGATGGTGATGATTATCATTACTATTATTCTTATTATTATTCTTTTCCTTACTATTTTCATTATTATTCTTACTATTCCTATTACTAGTATTTCTACTATTATTCTTATCTGTACTATTATTATTATTAGTATTGTTATTGTTATTGTTACTGTTTTTGTTATTGTAATCATAATTATTACTACTACTATAATTACTATCATTCGTATTATCATTCGTATTAGTAGTTCTTTGTTGATATCAGTCTTGTCATTCGTATTAGTATTCGCATTCGCACTATTATCATATATACATAGTGATTTTCTGACCGTCGCCGTATTGATGCAGGGTTCCTAGCGGGCCACTGTCGGGGTCTGGAGGCCGTTTTCAGGCCGTCTTGGGGGCATCCTGGGCTGTCTTTGGGCCCTCTGGGGCTGTCTTGGTCCCTCGAGGCAATCTTGGGGCCCTCTTGGGCCGTCTGGAGCCCCTCCAGGAGCCCTCTTGGAGCGTCTTGGGGCCGTCTTGGGCTCCTCGTGGGCCGTCCTGGGCTCCTTTTGAGCCCTCTTGGGCACCCAATGGCCATCTTGGAGCGATCTCGCGGGCCTTTTCGGCCGTCTCGAGCGCTCTGGAGACCGAGAAGCCGAGTATGCCAAAATGACACTGACACCTGAGGACAACCCATCGTTTTTGCTTCCCAGGGGCTCTGGGGAGTCGTCTTCGGGCCCCCTTGGGCCATCTTGGGAGCGCGTTGGGCCGTCGAGTGGCCATCTTGGGCCTTCCTGAGGCCTCCTGGGGTCCTCCGGGGCAGTGTTGGGGCCATCTAGGGCCGTCTTGGCCCCTCCTGAGGCGCTCGCGACTCAGACTCTCTGGCCGCACCCGAAGTTGTACCTGATCAGTTTTCTATGAATCTAGGTATCTATTGGTGGAGCAGTCTATGTGGTGCAATACCCACGCCGTGCAATCTATACTTTGCAACCTATAGTGCGCATTCTATTTTGTGCAATGTATGTTGTACGATTTCTGTGGAACAGGCTGTGTACAATGTCTGTGGAACGAGCAATGTGGTGCAATCTATGTGATGCAATCTATGTTGTGCAATACAAGTTGTGCGCAATGAATGCGGCGCAATCCACGTGTTGTAATCTAGGTGGTGCAATCTATGT